GAAATAGTTTATAAAAGTTCATTAATAATTAAATTAATAAAATTTATTTTAACCAATTATTATTCTTTTATTTTTATTTTTTATATTTTATATATTAATAATGTTTAATGATCGTATGATAAGAGATAACACATTTCGAATAAATGCTGGTCTTTATCAAACCGTTTAACAATAGTCATTCTGTTTCTTTTCGTTACTTTAAAAGGACATAAACTCTGTAAGGACGGATATTTGCACATATTTCATAAACATATATCATAAACATACTATACAACAACAACACGACAATTATTACAATTATCACAAAATATATTTGCATTATAATATTACGACCGTGCGCAAGTTCGAGTAAATTGAAGTAAAGTAAATTTAAATTTCTTAGGGATTTTTTGCACAGCACTTATGTAAATATTTATTTCACTTATTTATTATTTTTCCATAAAAGTTTTCAAATTTATTTATTTATTTATTAAACATCTAATAAAAAACACCTAATTTACATAATTTTCATCAAATTCACCCTACTCAAAATTCTGGTAAATACTGTAAAAGCCGTCTTTTAGTTCAGTTAAACATTTATTTATTTTAGACTTATCGATATTATTAAGTCTCTATTTTGACGATTGCTCTAAGACTACTTTAAGACTAACTTTTTTAGACTAACTTTTTAAGACTGACTCTTCTTTTTACTATTTCGAACCAAGACTGTTCGGTTTCACATTTGCTACCATTCCAATATAATTTACTATTTCCCTCAATTTACCATTAATTTGCAATCTAAAATTAAACAAATTAATTTTTATTTAATATACATATATGTATTTTATATAAAACTCACCGAAGATCACACCGTTACCGCATCGGCAACATTTTCAATTCCTCTGAAATTACAATTTTTAATTACAATAAATAAAGAAATATATTTAAATAAATGAATACCTCATTTATTCACTATTTATATATTTATTTTATTTATAATAAAATAATTATTTTATTATATTAAAAAAATATATATATATTAAAGCTACCTCTACCGGCATTAAATTAAAACATTTTTGTACACAAGCAAACGACTCAAGAAACGTCAAACCAAGAAAACTTTTGTGCAAAAATCCGTAGAGTGCTGAATTTCATAACACAAAAATAATCAATGCAAACGTTGGCAAAAGTTTTATTGCGCTATACTTTGGAGCGGATGATTCAATATAAACATGCGCGCATTTTATAAGGAAGGGCACTTTCTTTCCTTCATCCTCCACTCTACTAGGTCTTTCGAATAAACGAGTACCTATTATCTCTTGCTACTCTCGCTCTACCTACTCTTTTGGCTTTGATAAATCGAGTTCGCTCAATACTGAGCCCAACTGCTCTCCACTCTGCAATTCATTACTGAGCCCTCATCTGAACGCAGTGGTTTTAGTGGATTCAAGACTCACATTATGGCTTTTGGTGCTTTTCACCTACGGTAAAAAAGGGTAAAATGTATTATGTCTTACATTTGAAAATGCAGTATACAGTATAGGTTCGTCTTTCTGAACAACGCATTTAGAATTGAGTCAACATTGTTACACATCTTGACTAGTAGTAGCATTGTAGTTAGAATTGCATCAAAGTAGGCTTACATATTAACAGGTAGAACATGACAGTTATACCTTCTAACTGTGATAAGCAATAATCAGGGTTGTACCCAGCATAAACCTTCTAAATTACAGATTTATGAAGAAAGTATCGTTCCACACCGACAGGAGAATAAAAAAAGATCACTGGGGACCACATTATAGAATTACGATAATCTAGAAACAACATCAAAGCCAACACAGATCATCCTTTATCTTAATTTGTATATTTTATTAGTTAGAAGTTTTTAAATTTATTTTTTGAATAAAGTAATTTAAGTCGTATAGTAAAATAGAAAAAAATAAATTGCAACGAACATTGGATAAGGACTGAGCTTACCCTAGCAAAACTAACGAATTAAACGTGTCGTTATAGCATTACGGCTCTACAGCTCAAAATGTGTTAATTATTTTTAACACAAATAACATCATTTAGTATTTAAGTTAAACATATAAAGTTATTATAAACACATTTTGAATAATGAATTGTGAACATTTATTTAGACAGTTTGCGAATTCGAGTTCGAGACCGTGTGCAATTTTGATTTACTTTACCTTACTTTACGGCCTTAATGGGTCTACTCTATGCTGGAATCCATAAATTAATCATATAGATTAAAAATATGGAACTCTATGTTGGAATCTATTTATTATTCATATAGATTAAAAATATGGAACTGTATGTATGTAATATTACATACCTCTGCCAAACGTTAATTTAGTTCAGAATTATTTATAACTGTAAAACAAACTAGGAGTTAATAGAAAGAAACGTTTTATTACTGATTAATGTATTAATAGGGGGCGCAGTATATTTATATACGAAACTTTATGAATTAAAAAGACAGAAATATCAGCACCAATACCATATTAAAGTCTCATCTTTGTGAAATAGATATGAAACATGATAAAAATATATCCAAAATATATCCAAAATTCTCCAAAATGCTGATCTGATCAACTTTTGGTATTGTTAATGCTGGCAATAGCTAACGATTCTTCGCTAAATTCAAATGCATAAGTGTATGACGCATTCAATATTCAATTTCTTTATACACAAAATAAAGGGAAAGCACAGCAAAATTTCTCAGCTCATTCATTCAGAATATTTGATGCAATATAGTCGCATATTCTAAAAAATTAAAAAGTCTTATACAAATATTAGAAATGTCGAGTGGTAACAAAATATATTGAAATCTAGCTAAAAGTTGTGAAATAATATTATTAAATATTTTTATAGAATTCTTCGGACGGTTTTTATATGATTTATTTGAAAAAAATATACTTTGTGAACAGAACAGCTACAAAATGCAGATGGACACGATGCAATCACATTTTTTAAGATTCATATCTCAAAATAATTTGGAGGAACCTTCAAAAACAACACTTTTAGGGGCTTGCAAAACAGCAACCACTGTAAGTAATAATAAATATTATTATTAAACACACATACATATATTTTTACTAATGTTCAGTACACACAAAAGAAATGAAAACTCAAAAAAAAACTTTATTGTGAAATCTGATCAGTTTCAGATTTTATATTAATAGGCTTTTACATATACTTTATTCCATACTTTATTCCAATTTAGTTTTTCATTTAAAAAATTAGATTGTTAAGTATAAATAATTAAATTTATTAAATAATTTTAATAATAATTTAGATTCACTACAAATTATTTGTCTATTTTCTATTATTATTTGTCTATTTGTTATTTTTCATCTATATTTAATATCAACTTTCTATCGTATGTGGTTATCAAGTTATGTTGCTTAACTTAATTATTTTTTTACAGTTTTCTTCATATCTCTCACAAAATCGTGAGTATCTCCAACAATCTACAAAAAATATAACTGAATTTTGCTTAAACGAAGTCTATATTGACCAGTATTTGCGCAAAAAAAATTTAAAAACTGGTAAGTAAAACTATAGTTTTTGAATTTAACAATAATATACTTAATTTATCTTAGAAAAGTATGATAAAAAGAATTTGCGCACGCTAACTTATGTGGAAAAAGGAACAATTTTCAAAGAACAGATAAATAAAATTAAAACTAAATCATATATATACAAATACAAGTAAGAATAATTGATTATTAATATTTTATGATGGTATAATATAATTTGTCTAATTAAACTAAAAGCATTTTAACATAGAAATCAATAATAATAGTCATATCTTTTTATTTAGATATTTGTATTCTATTATAGTTACATATATATTATAAGCTGGTGTAGACATCTGCAGTAGTGTTCGTTAGATATAAATTAACTGATATATTTAATTTAAAGTTTATTAAATTTTTGTAATTTTCTAAAAATAAAGGTTTATGAGATTGTCTATGATTATCTATAACATATAATTTTAAATAGTGATCCCTATTTTTTACTCTTTTTCTTTGAAAGAATAATTCATTATGTAATAATAGAAATAAAATATATTTAAAATATATCCAAATATATTCCAAAGACCACTGATGAAGAGTACTTGGCAATACTCGAAACAGCATTGTATGGTCATCCAAATTTCAATAAAATTAAAATAAATTTTTGTGTTTGTCCTTTATTTCTTTCTTCTTGGTATACATAACTTTATCGATACTCGGAAGATTTGGAAATCTGCATAACTTTTATTGTTAATTATTTTTTTTGTTTAAAATATGACAAAATGGTTATCAGTAAGTCTTTCCTCCGTCCCTCGAATTCTTCTAAGCGGATCTAAAAAAATTTTATTTTGCTGAGTGATGATTTCCGGTTCAATTTTGCTTTTGCAAAAAAGGATTTATTTTTAAGTATAATTAACCTACCTCTCTTAATTAGAAATTAATTAAGTAAGGTAAGCTAATTCGCTTTCTTTTCTATATTAGATCTCTTCCACCAGCTACTCATACTAAAACTCGAGTAAAACACAAGTAAAGTACAAACTGAGAGCGTAACACAAATAAACAGCTAAATTACGCTCTTTATACAGATTTTCATAGAACAACTTTGTGTAAAGCATTTTAAAATTTCAACAGGAATGTTACGCTCTCTCAGATACTCTCATTTACTCGAAATTTTGCTGGTGGAACGCACTTGTGTATACACAGTGTTACTCAAAATTACTATTAGTAACTCGTGAAACAGACCTATTGTTTTCTCAATATATTAATTCTATGCATTTTAGTACATTTTTCTCTTTTTTATATATTGTAATCCTTTTGGAACCAATCCCACAACATAATCCGTTCCATCCTCAGGATTTTTTAAGAAAATATTAATAAATAAAGATAGGTTAGATTAAATGAAAAAAAAACATCTAAAATTATCTTATTTGAAATGTAATTTCGAATATATTAATATTATTATGTTTATATTAATTAATCTTTTCTTTGCAGGCATATAGTCAATTCTGTCCCCTATATTCAAGATATATATCTTGGATATAAGTTTTGTGAACATTCAAAAAAGGTTTGTTTTGTTTTGAAAACGATTCGTGAGAATTTTAAAATAAAAAATATTTTTGTCCAACGTGATGATATTGGGGAATTAAAAAAAATAGATACTTCTATTATGGATTTGGTGTTTTACGTTGACAAAAAATGTTTATTCAGTAATGTAGATATTAAAATATTTATAGTGCATAATAACATATCGGATGACTCGACAATCTTTAATTGCGATTCATTTAAAGTAAGTTTTTTATTTTTGACGTATTTTTTTAAAAAAATTTTAAATTATTTCTTTTAAACAGTTCAAACGCTTCAATTTAAAAGCACCGTAAGTGAAGTAAAAAAATTGTTGTATATAATATAATGAAAATATATAATTTAGCCTAACTATAAATCTGTACGATGCACTTTTCGTTTCAGGGATCAAAAATTCGTATATGAAATGGCACCTTACATTTCAGAAGATTTTAAAATTTTATACTCTAAAAAAGAAGAACAACAAATCAAATATTTGTGCCAGATTTCTCCAAAGTTCGAGTCATATATATCTAATGGCAAACAATTAACCCGAGAAAATATGTGTGAAGTTTTAAAATATTTATTAACGTTAGAAGATTTGGAGATTTTAAAACCATATAACAATTTAATTCAACACAACATATTAATGAATTCACAAAACCTGGAAAAATATGTGGATGATGATGGGGATGATGATGGGGATGATGTTTTTGAGTGGAAGTATACTTTGGAGGTAAATATTCCTTTGCAGATATTTTAATAAATATTAATATAAGATATAAAACTGAGTATTTTTTTTCAGTTAAGATCCCGATTAGTCTGAAATGCATTTTGTATTAGTTCTGTGATGATTTATTATAATCGCAATATTTCATGAACCTTTAACACTTTACAATGTTTGAAATCAGTTGATTAAAACGCAATTTTCACCTATTCCTTATTTTCGCTATAATAATATCATGTAAAATATGTGGTTCCTGTCTTTGGATCCAAAATAATTTTCTAAAAAATTTTTATATTCATATATCTATTAATATATATTTATTATTATACTGACGCTAGTTGAGTCAGTGCACCTGAGCACTTTTACTTTCTATTAACTGCGAGGTTTCTTCAAAACTCCTGTTTGCGCCTTGACTGGATTATTATTTATCACTTCATCAGATTAATCAATAATTGACCTCAGATCGCATACCTCCCCGAGGAGCCTGTAACCATTCTGAGATTTGATAACACGGTGTTAGCAAGTCTGTCAGATTTCGCAAATAATTTCAGGGCTCTATCCTTTATGTATTTATATATTTATTTATTTATTTATATATATTTATTGTAGGTATCATCTTCGATTCCTTCAGTTTCGTGAGAAGAATTGCATCATAGACATCAAAAATGTTCACTTCATGAATAAGTCTTATTAAACTATTTTCAACATTACTTGTTATGTATCTATGGGCGTTGTCAGAATTATTCATCATGATTAATACATTTCTGTGTATTGATGTACTTTTGCGATAAAACGTTACAAATCTAGTGCATGATAAGTGCGTGAACTCCAGGATGTTAATCTCATCCTAGAGTTCTTCCAGAAATGGAAAATAAAAATTAACAACGGGAAAACTAAGGCCCTGTTTGTAGCTTGTAAACATAGGCAGCATTCACCGAGAGCGAGAGTTGGTGAAATTGCGATTAATTAGGAGGACAGCTTCAAATACCTGGGAACCACGTTTGATAAGCGGTTCACTTGGCACAAGCACATACAAGTCAAAAGAAGAAGTTTTGCGAAAGTACTGCCGTGCTTAGCGCTAAGAACAGAAAGTTGATCTGCAGCCAGATAATCAGATCGGCACTTCTCTTCGGATGTGTCGTGTATAGCAAAGCTTTCAACTCTACTTTCCAGAAGCTATAAGTTGCTCAAAGTCAGGCTCTCCGAAGACTCTTCAAAGTGACATGATACATCCGCAGGAATGACAAAAAACACATAAGGGACAAGGCCCTAAAGCTATACGCGTATATTGACCAAACAAAATGCTTCTAAAAAGTGAAAAAATTTTCTCGACAATGTTTTATTCAATTATCAAATATTATCTTAAAATTATTAGACAAAATAACACTAATAAATATAAAAATAACACTGTTCCGTATGAATATTATATTGATTAAATCCAACTTTTTTTTTATTAAAAAAGCTATCAAAACAAAGAAGAATAAATCAAACACAAACTGCACCTTGCGTAGATGATGATGTATACATTTGTAGCAATGACAAACCTTGTGATTTTTGGTCAGCTATGGAAGAATCAAAATTTTATGGCATAGTATTAACTGTCTCGAAAGAAAAAGTAACATTTACAATAAAATCAAAACGCGATATCTGTGGAATTTGTTTCGATAGTCCTATGTATACCATAGTATTTAGTCCATCCCGTTTCACAATTCGTCTACAGTATCGTGCATTGGAGTTACTGAGTAAAGAACGAATTGAAATCATCGATCGTATTTTTTTTCCTGCAGGTGTTGATCCGATATATGCTATACCACAAGAGAGGTATATTTCTAATTTTTTTTAAAAATTTTATTAGAATAATCATGAGTTGTATATACATATGCAGATTGGTACTTTTTAATGAAAGCATTTACGAAAATCCTGAACAATTACAAGCAGTGCGCACCATAGCAGCGGGGCCCAAATGTAAAGTACCATATATAATATTTGGACCACCAGGTGAGTAATTAAAAAAAAAAGAAATTTAAAATAAAATTTTGAACGTATTTTTAAGGAACGGGAAAGACAACTTTAATTGTGGAATGTATTCTACAACTCTATTTACATCGACCAAATACTAAAATTTTGGTTACTGCTGCATCAAATACCGCTTGTGATGAAATAGCGGTACGTTTATGTAAAGCACTGTTCCACTATAATGACGAATTTTCTATTGTTCGCTTATATGCAAGATCATTTAAGAAAGAAACAAGCTTTCTTCTTAAAGAACATTCTAATTAACATTCAAAGTACTTCTCTCCAAACAAAAATGATATCAAGAAATATCGCATTGTAATAAGTACATTATCTGTCATAGGAAAAATTGATATTCAAGAATCCCAATCACCATTATTAGAAGAATATGAAACCAGTGCTTCCATAACTCATTTTACACATATTTTTATTGACGAATCGGCTGCTACAACAGAAACAGAAACTTTGCTTGCTATTATTGGCTTGTTACCAACAAATGCAAGTTTGATACTTTCCGGTGATCATAAACAATTGGGCGCAGTATTACAGTCAAAAGCCGCAGAACATTTGGGATTTTCTATTTCATTAATGGAACGTATACTTAAATCAGCATGCTATCGAGTAAATCACAACGGAGATTATAATCGCTCCTTTCAAACACGTTTACGACGCAACTATCGTTCTCATCCCGAAATAGTAAACTTATTTAATCACCTTTTTTATAACAATCAATTACTTCCACTAGCCAAAGAGAGTAAGTACTCATATTTTCATATACATTTTTAATTACTTCAATTTGATATTGTATATATGTTAAATAGATGTTGAACTCATATGTAAAAAATGGTCTAGATTACCAAACACCAAATATCCTATTTTGTTTCATTCGGTTGATGGAATTGCTGAAACTGAAAACAATTCTACAAGGTAAAAATATATATATATATATGTATTATATATTAAACTTCTTCTACTAATTTTTTTAAACTGCAATATATTCGTTTGGTGAAATACCTAAGTGGTTTTAGAACAAAACATGCAAACTGTATATGTACACATTGCTATAAAAGAATTAATTTAATTAGTATGATTAAAATGCTATAAATTATCAGGCTACTACCATCCATATAGTCAAAATGTACTACCACTTAACTGTATTTACTTTTCTCGAACTGATTATTGATCAAATAATGAAGATAGTATGCTCAGAAGATATCGGGTGTATTTTAACTGCATTAGAACTATCGAAATCGATAACTATGGCTTGACAGCTAAAATTGTCAAACTGTGTTAACATTTCTGTGCAGTACGGTTTGGCAATTCATCATGAATCGTTTGGCGCTAGGGCAATGCTTCCAAATTGTGGAAACTTACTTTCAAAAAAATAAATCTGTTCGTGAACTTCATAGTTCACTTTGTCTATTTTAGGGTCAACATAATCGGCCTAGTGAGCAAGCAATAATTTTACTCTTTTCGATTTAAAACCACCAACAAGTCATAGAAATGTGCTGTTTGTTACAGTTTACACGCTGGCGACATCATCAGTTATTTCTTTCGAAATGACGAACGAGGTGCCGCTACGGTGAATGGTGAGCGCTATAGAGCCATGCTGACTGACTTTTTGTTTTCAATAATTACTCAATTAAACATCGACAACATTTGGCATTTGGTTTCTTGGTCAACAATAGGTTTAACCTCCAAAGAATGGTCACTGTAGTTGAATCAATTCACGCAGTTGCTCTGTAATAAATGATTGTTGTCAAACAAAATAAAATTTCTTGATATGAGTTCCCACTGCAGCGAAATCAATTTATATGAATCAAATTAGAACTTGATCGTTTCCATTGACATTAGTTGATTTATGTAAGTGAAAGAGTTTTCACGTGTCAGAAAGTCCTGTGAAAGTTCTAAGTTTGTTTTCTGTTTGTTTACATTTCAATTGTTAGCAGATAACATTTAATTTCGTATTTTCAGCAAAAACTTATTAAATGATCAATGAAAACGAGGAAAATGCAAAACTTGTTTTTTTTGACTTGATTTGTTTAACTTGTTTTTTTTTGTGTTTATATACATTTTGTTCCAAGTACCAAATATGTCAAATTGTTAGTGTAATTTTCCTTAATTTATTTTTAACTAAGTTGAAAAGCACGAAAGGTCTTTGTACGGTTAATCAACTGATTACCGACTCAAATCAAATAAAATGCTTTAATGAAGACAATGGGAATATACTATTACTATTATGCAATTATTCGTCCTCCATTTTTCTACTCCAGTAATAATTCTTTCAGTACATATGTATATAATAACAAAGATGAATTAATTTTAAGAAAACCGGAAAAGAAACCTTAAACGATTTTTCTGTAGATTGGAGAGTTTTAAAAATTATTTGCCAGAGTACTGAAAGTTACTAAGTTAGATTAATAATAAACTCAAAACATATAAATATATTACTTATTTGTTATTTTATTTATAGCATTTATAATTGGCGCGAAATAGATGTCGTTATACATTATGTGAAGGATTTACTCAAAATCAATTTCAAAGATTTCAAAATTACAGAAGACGACATTGGTATAATTTCACCATATAAATTGCAATATATAAAAATCAAAAACGCTTTGGCAGATCATGATTTATCGAAGATTACTATTGGCTCGCCAGAAACCTTTCAAGGGTCGGAGAAGCCAATTATAATCGTGTCATTCGTCAGATCAAAAACCCGTGCTTTAGGGTTCTTAACTAATGAAAAGGTAACTTTGGGGAATCAAATTTTTAGAATATATATTTATTAATTTATTTTATTTAGCGTTTAAATGTCACAATATCGCGACCTAAATCAATGTTGATACTGATTGGAAATGCAGAAACACTAAAAATAAATTCCAATTTTAAGTTCATCATAGATTCATGCATTGCACATAAATCTTTTATAAAATCGGCGTTCGCTGAGAAACCAGATACATTAGATGACTTGCTTAAAAAATTAAAAATTTAAAAAAAATTTCAAGAAATTATCTTTTATCTTAATATGTTCTTTTAAAAATATATCAATATCAATATTATATCTAAAATGAATTAATTTTAAAATTGAAATCATAAGAATAGTAATTATAGATTCATAATCCATTTGTTTTTTTTTCATATAATAATTTTAATAAAGATTATTTGCTAAAGTATAATATGTCTTAAGTTTAATTTAATTTCTTCACTTTAAATACTATTTTATATTTGGCACTAATAATTCTTAAACAAAATGTGGGCAATTATAGATAATAATTTTCTTATTCACACCTATGTACATATATTAAAATATCAGAAAGTCTTATGGGGTTTTTATACAATAAATATCAATATAAATGCTCAGTGTTCTGAAAGCATGCCTGTCACAGTCCCTATCCCTGAGAAGCATATTTCTGAAGTGTTCAAATCTCTCAACAGACTTACCTTAAAGAAGGAAAAATCTCGCCAAGTTTAAAAAACTGTACTGGTTCCAAAAAATGAATACACATCTATTATGTATGCCACCGTGAATCGACCATTTTGTAGAATATTTAAAAAGGAAGAAACATTTTAGATTGAAATTGGTGAGACTTCGCGGAACAGCGCTTTTCTATTGAAAAGTTCGCCTGCTTGTTCGAAAGACGAATCTTGTCGCTTATTCCCTCTTTGGTATTATTACGAATTAATTATTTTTTGGAACTTTGACAAAAAAATTTTTTCTGACTTTTTATGACAATGCAAAGCTTTTTTTATTGTCTTTCAAGGTTTTTGTATGCATTTGCTTTATATTATATTTTCTTCTTTAAATAACTTTTTTTTTAGAGAAAAAATTTGCTTTTGCACTCAATTTGTTATTTTTAATTCATTTATTCGCTACAAATGCATACAAATACAAATATTGTATTTGCTATTCAACCACAGAGTGCGCTTTTCCTCCTGCTTTAAGTTTATTCATCGCTGGACGCTGTGAATGAACGTTTTTTTTTTTTGAAATAAAAAAAGACCAAGTAAAAAATTGTAAAATCGACTTTTTTGATTTTTATTATTTTAGAAAATAAATTTCCATGTCTTTATAGGAAAAAAATATGTCATTGTTATCTATCTGTTTTATAATGCAATATATCTTTTACACTTAAGGAAATATAGTTTATAGTTAAATAAGCTTAAAAACAATTATTATTTTTTGCCAGTTTTTTATGATAAAAATAATATATTCTGTTGACGTTTTAAAATTATATTTTAGGATATATTTCTCAACATTTTTTATTTTTATTTTTTCAAATATGTGTCATCAACAACTAATTCTGCATTAAAATTATTTTCGTTTATTTTAATATTATAATTATGTTACATTATTATATTTATTTTACATTATTATATTTATTTTACATTATTATTACCACGAACACGGTTGGGATTTTCTTAACCCCACTAACTCAAAATCATATCAACGTTGTAAAAACAATATTTAGTGGGAACTAGGAATTAGGAATTGATGTACAGGGTGACATATGTTATATTTAAGAAATTATGATATTAATTTTTAACGATTTTGCACAAATTAGTAGTTTTATTGCTAATTTTATTGCTCTTCAGTGCTTATGCGTGTAAAGCGGTTCAACTCTTAGTTTTTAATAATTTTTAAGTGAAGAATTCAGTTTTTTTTTTAAAAAAATTTTATATTTTATTCTTTGAATTACTTATTTATTGCGTAGTCGTTTGTTTCTAAACAGTCACATTCTCTGTGGCTGCTCAGCTTTGATCTGGGCCAGGAGGAGGTCACCGGGTCGACAACTACTTTCTCCTTCTGACATTAGGAGGTCCTCAACGGCCGACATTCTGGCTTTCATTCAGAAGACGGAATGTCTTCTGTTTGGTTAGGGTCTGTTGCAGCACAAAAGATCAATCATGGTCACAGTGCTCCGCTAGTATCCCATTTATTGCTAAAAGACATATATCAATTATATTTTTGTTTTGATAAAAAAACTTAAATTTCGTCAATTTTGGCGCAGATAAATTTTCTTAATTATATAATTACCTGGATATGAAAGTACCACTTTCAATATATCTCAATTTGTGTCATTTTGTTGCCTATTTCAACCTATTTAGTTCTTTTCTAGGACTACTCGTATAATTGAGTAATGTCTGTAAGTCAAAAGACCTTCTTTTTCAACTATTAATTTCATTATATGTAATTTAAAAATGAAGAAACATTTTTAAAAGTGGCAATTTCATTTAAAACTGTTTTTTCTTGTGTCTTTCGTGCTTCAGTTTACACTGATTCGCTTTGATTAATTAATTTTGACTATACAGTTTATTACGAGAGGACAGACTCTTTAGCTTCCAATCACTGCAAGGATTTAAATAAATGAATACATAATTATGATAATTAGATTTTTATTTTTAAATATGAGTTTATACTCGTATATACTAAATTGTATACAAACTATTACATTAAGATTAACCTAAAAGCCAAGCCATTACTAGTGATACTTTTTAGTTGTATTTTCGTATAAATTTCATAGTAATTACTAATTGTTTTAGAAACGTAACAAAATTTGATAAATAAATTGTTGTAAGTCAAATTTTTCGATTTAACATTTACTAAGGCGCATTTAAGAACATGTAACTTTATTTTGATTAATGAACATATCAATCACCAATCATTTATGAAATTTAAATTAATTTTCAATGCAAATATTTACAATTAGTTTAAACTAAAAATCATTTTTACGTAAACAAGGAACAAATAAAGTTTAAAAATGTTATGAATTTAATTATTACGATTATAAAATTAATCACTTTTGAAAGGCAAATTATTTTCATTCAATATAAGTAGATTCTTTTTATGGACGTATATTTGAATTAAAACAATAAAAATTCAAAAATCTATCGCTTTTTGTTTGCAGGAATATAATGTTTCTTTCACGATATATATGTAGGGTGATTTTGAAATAGTGAAGCAAACACGAAAAATCACATAAGTAATAATTATTCGTTTATTGTTATCAATACTACAGGTCAAATATGATTGAAACTGTTAATATAATTTTTATTTCATTTTTTTTAAATTATTAAAAACATAATAATTATTTATTATAATAACAAGTAACAAAAATATTATGAGTCAGATTATATGGCAAACTACTAAATCATTATTTTTTCTTTACCAAGAGTTTTTTTTCCGCAGTATTATTATAACCTAACTGGGATTCAGTATGTAAAAAGTGTGTTGTTCAGTAAAGATAACGGATCTAAGAACGGCCGGGTCTACATCCCGGTGCTACTTGTTGAGCTAGCCGACTAAGCGCCGTTCAGCACTCCCAAAAGATATAAAGTTTATAGCACAAAGATATATTAAAAATACAATTTAATTAAGTATATTTTGTATTTTTTAGAGATAAATAAATTTAAAGGAAGTAATATTTAATGAAGAAAGCTCTAGAACCAGCCAAGTCTACTTTGCAAAACTGATCTTCTTTGTAGACTATCAAGTGCCATTCACGTTTTCCACAATGTGTTACTACAGCTACAATATAAATTGACGTATGTTTCACTGTTACAAATGCAATGGTTTTAAAACTGACCCATATTAAGAATGTTTTAATATTGTTAATGAGTAGAAAAGAAAATCGTTTTGAAATTGATGTTTAAATTAAAATAATATTATAAAGATTATCTCAGAAGTCAAATATATGCCTTATAATATTTTATGATTAATTTTAAATCAGTTAATAATTAACATAACATTTCGACTATATTTAATTGCTTTAATTCATATGTAATTTTTATTTTAAATCAAAATATAGAATAACAATAAAATTGACTAAGCAAAAAAATTCATTTCGATTTATGTATTTATAATTAACAAAGTGTGAAAACATTCAATTCATTTTAAAAATTTCGGCTTTCTGCACTCACAGTTAAAATATTTAAATATAATAATTTAAACAACAAATTTTACTTTTATATACATTTCAAATAATTGCTTCCAATTTGTTGTTTTAATTTTATTTAATATCTAACAATGGTCCAGTAACCCGTAGTTTCATCGCGTCTATAATAGCGTGGCCGATTATCTCTGAATACAGTAATAGCGGGAAATTGGTTCTCTTGTATAAATTTAATGGTTGCGCGCATCTGCAATATAAAAAGTACAATATGTATATTTAATATCACATTTAAAATAATTAATTAATAAATAAATTACATGCATAGCAAAGTGTGGTGGTTCCACATCAGGACTTGAGGATAAATGCTGTAAAATAAATTCATCAGTTTGTGATAGCCATAAATCTACACCACGAAGTGGATCATAATTGAATGGGCCAATACGTAGCATTCCCAAAGAAGAGTCGTATACATCAAGTACCTTCAATATATAAGACACATTTTAATATATATTTGTTTTTTTTAATATATATGGTATATATAATTTAAAATTGTATTTGATACAATTTAAAATTGTTCGGTTTCTTATATTTTTACAGAAGTCAAAGATCATGTATCTTTTAAAGAATGATATCACAATAAATACCATATATGCAAAAGTTACCACAACGCATATTATTGATTTTGTTTTATTAATTGCATTACATTTTTATAATATATGAATAATTTAGAATTTACCGTTTGTGCTCCCATAAAAATGCGTGCATCTCTTAATTGCCTATCTGGACCTCTCTCTGGGAAAGTAGCTGGAAATATTTCACCGGTATTTATATTTACACCTACGCCATAGATGATGGGGAAATTAATGTCACCGCGTACAATGGTATTTAAGTCTCCAACACAGGCCTGTGTTAAGTCAATTTCGAGGTGATGTTTGTGGAATGATTCTGTAAATTAAATTTTTTTGTTAATTCATATTAAGTTATTAAGTTATAAGAATAAAGAACTACTTAAATGAAATAAAACCTCCCAGAACTAATGTCGGTTCATGAAAGATGTTATATACCATATATCTATAAATAAGCCTGTAGCTTGGGGTAGTGTTATAATGACATTGTATGCGTGTTTGGGTTGCAATGAGTTAAAAGATTTTTACTATTAAATATAAGTGGAAATGTATAACACAATTGAAGAAGTGCTTTGATAGCAGTTGAATGTATATCACAAATCTGATGTACTATATAGAAATTGTGAAAAAAGTTTATACTACCGAAAGCAACATAAACATGCTTGATTAAATGATTGAGTATTAAGTAATGATTGAGTATTTTTACGAAGATCCAATCAAAGATCCAAATTGAATCAATTCAATCTGGAAATGCTTTTGAACTTTTCAATACCCTATTATCGAGGAACTATGTTACTCTTATGTGGGTACCGGGACAATGATGGCAATGAAATAGCAGATTCCCTAGCAAAGAGGGGTGCATGTACTCCTTTCATTGATCCAGAACCCTTTTGCGGGGTAACAAATACCTTCACAAATAACTTATTACGTGAACGGGAGAAACAAAATCTACTTGAACACTGGTGAGCCCAAACAGGCATGTGGCAGTCAAGAAGATTCACTGATCCTGAACACATCAACGTTGACGCTATCGTGAACCTTAACAGAAACGATATTGCAATCTACGCTGAACTTCTTACAGGACACTGTAGACTTAATTATCACATGAAGATTATAGGTGCAGTATAAAGTGATTCCTGTCAAATCTGTCATGAGGAGAAGGAAACATCAGAACATATCCTATGCAACTCCTGAACGGCGGCAAGGCGTAGACTTGACTACCTTGGAAGCGCGATCTTAGTCCCAAATGAAATAGGTGAAATTAAGCCAACAGCAATAACGGATTCATAAATAGTGTAGAATTGGTTTAGTTGGGCCTATAGGCGCACAAAAGATCTTTTAGGTAGGGGTGCATCCAAAGCCTATTATTTAATAATAGTAGTTTTACGAAGAAATGTAGATATATTGCTATTGAGAACTGCATAGAAGATTGTTTAATATTAGATTCACGGAACTTTGGTCACACTGAATTAGATGAACATAATTAAATTAATGTCCCTCCTGTAGGATAAAATTTTGTGGATAGGATAAAACTTAACATTATTTATTAGAGAAGACGATTGTATAGAAAGATTGCATTTTAAAGATTAGAGATCTATAACAAGTTGTAATTATTATAATCGTAGATATGATTAATTTATTATAATTATGTTTATTAAATTAAAATGTTTTGATTCAAAAGAAATTTTGCCTACTGTGGAAACATCTTGAAAGTCAAAATAAATTGTAAAAATACACGTATATCCACATATACATATATAAACATATAAAAAGATGGAATATAATTTCAATCGAGTGAGACGATTGTTCATTTGTAATTTTTTAAAGTTAAATCCAATAATTTCTTCATAATAAAATATATCATCACAGTATATTATATAGATATATTCCTTCAACTATTTTAAGATGCATAAGTTTATTTGTAATTTAGTTTCTTAAGTTTTTTGTTTTTAACTGAAAATGTTGCAGTTTCAAGTACAATAGAAAATAAAAAATATTTAATTAAAAGTATTTTTCTTTAACTTATTAAAAACACCTTTAACATAAGAGAAAATTATAAAAAGTTTCCTATTTCTGGACAAAGAAAGAAACTTAAAGTCTTAAGTTTGTATCCTTAACAAACACAAAATGAAAATGTATCATAATAAAGGACCTTTGCAGAAGGTGGTGTGCTTTGAAACTTACGCATTATGCTGTAGAAAACATCTTCACCATATGATTGTGGATCTTTGTAGCCACCAATTAATTGTAATTCAATACGTCCTTCTGGATAGCCTAAGGCAAGCTCCTGCACACGTGCAACCATTGCACACACCGCTTCATCAACCCCAGAGCCATCAAAGTGGGCTAAAGCAACTGCTCCGGATCCTGTAAAAAGGCAAAATAGTTTGGCTTAAAACATGTTCAACAATAAAAAGTAAATATATATAAAGCAGATTGTGGGTAGGTAGATAATTTCTTTTTTTATATTTATA